TAGCTGGGATTCTGATAGTGCTACAACTTGCTGCTGATCGTGGTGTCCGCGAGCTGGTGATATGCACCAACCCACAGTCTAAGGACTCTTCTTCTATTCACAGTCGGTCCTATGACATCGACACATCTCGTGTACATCTCTGACCTCGGTACCATGTCTCTGATACTTGGGTTGATCTTTTGAAATGCCTTGTCCCTGTTATCGATCTTGAATGGGGGGGGATCTTTGGGCATGTGTTGAAGACCCCCTGCCCATCGATCTATCTCCTGACCTTGACCTTTGCTGTCTTGTGGTAGGTGGCCCTGAGCATGGGGAAAACACAAGCTCCCCGCTGGGCTCAGCCCTTCAGGAACCGCTACCACAGCATCCTACAGAGCCGCCCTCTGATGTTCGCTCTCTCACTGAACAGGTCGTGGGCCAAGCCGATGCTCTTACGAATGAGGTTGAGCGGGACAAACTGCGGCAGCTCCTACATAAATACAGAGGCTCTCTTTCAGTCGACTCCTTAGACTGTGGGTTAACCACAATCCATGAAGTAAGGGTTCCTACCCCACCACACGCACTGCCACCTTTTGTGCATTAACACAAGATTCCCCTGGCGTCCGATGGACCAGTCCAGGAAATCATTGACAGCCTCTTGGAAAAGACTATCATTCAACTGTAACGTCACGAAATGGCCTGATTTTCAGATCCCACAGGTCAAATTCACAGCCAGGTCAACTTACCCCTGGCTACGACAACCTGCAATTTTTTCCCTCACAGGAGTCTGGGAGTCTGCACGTAGTCCCTCTAATCAGAGCCTACTTCCTTACATCAGCTGGACTGCAGATCTGAGAGATAATAAAACATAAACAATAACATTCTCCTCCAAGGTCCTTTACAGAGGAACTCCTTTATTCCCAGATGGAAGAAGAAAGAAGATCTATAATTAAAAATAATCATTGAATGAACTTTTGTTATTGCCAATTATAAATAATTAAAAGTTCATTGATCTGTGTTTAATGGTATATGATTAGTATGTTTACTGGATGAGGTTATCACCATTTGCACTCATACAAGACAGAGTAAGGTTAAGTTAACGCATGACACATAAGTTAACCTTTTGCCCAGATTCAGAGTCTCCATCACAGAGGGTGCGTCTCTGAGATGCTTGGTAACATCTCTCAAACTTGTCAGCCCCTGATTGGCTGGCCATACAATAATATCAATTCTTTAAAACCATATGACTTTGAGTAATTTGTCAGTTCTAGAGCGAGCTTCAGACTGGCCATCTTTAGCACCTCTTTAACCAGCAAGGAGTTTGACACGTCGTCAAACTCTTTGAACCTTTGTCGCACCTGCGAAGCTGAATAGTTTCCTGCAGAACAAAGCTGACACAAAACTCCTTCAGAGTTATTTTTAAGACGCTTGGTTTCATCTATCATTGTGATCCGGGGAGACATCCCAGGACTGATTTGGGCGCATCAAGGTTTTTCTACGAGCCAGGTGCAGTGGGGTCGTCGGCCCCGGGACATCTTGGATCCAACGGGGGTCTTCCAGAACTGGTGAGGTAGACACAGCGAGATAACGTCTGCATGTGGTTTTGAAAACAAGAACTTGATAGCTTATTTGCAAACCAAATTCTCTCCATCCAGAACTCAGCTTTCTCATGATTCTGACTCTGAATACATTATTTCACACACAGGTTCCAGACACCCATCTTTTAGTCCGCATTCACTCACAGTAAATAATAGTTTAAACAATTTGTCAAGTCTTAATGGTTTGTAAAATAAATTCTTATTTTGTTTATAAACCTGCCTGTTTCTTGAATCAAAGCGAAGTGTGTACAATCCCTTAATGAATAAAATAATCTTAGAATCTTCTGACTAAAACAAATGAAGACCAGGCAAGGTGATACTCTATTTACATAGAGTATCACAGCTATTGGTCACAAGTAGTGGTTAGGGCTGCAACAACGAATCGATAAATTCGATGAAAATCGATTACTAAAAGCGTTGGCAACAAATTGCGTCATCGATTCGTTGTGTCGCACAACTCTTCCAAAAGCGCCCCCCCTTCCCGCCCGCCGTTGCGCGCAGACCAGAGCAAGTCAGATCAGCGCGAGGGAGAGCCGGCAGATCAGCGCGAGGGAGAGCCGCAGATCAGCGCGAGGGAGAGCCGCAGATCAGCGCGAGGGAGAGCCGCAGATCAGCGCGAGGGAGAGCCGGTACCGGCAGATCAGCGCGAGGGAGAGCCGGTACCGGCAGATCAGCGCGAGGGAGAGCCGGCAGAATTGCGCTGCTGCGAACCGGTTCCGCATTGTTGCGCAGCGATCCAGGCAGCTGCTTCCAGCGCACGGTCCATTCTCAAAGTGGCGCAACCAAAAAACTATAATTAGCACACGATCGTTCATGTCCGCACATGTTCTCTATTTTCTGTCTTATTTGTGCCTGAAGCGCGCTACTGCGGAGCTCATCACCTGTGCTGTGGTGATGTCACCTCACACAGCATCGAAAACGCGCTCTGCGCTTTTCGGTCAGGAGATCCCTTTGATCTGCTCAAAAGTAACTGATGAGGTGAAAAGGTAAGAATCCAGGCAACAGATTTTCTGGAGAATTAAGAGGAGATGCAGGAAGATGAGAGACAGACAGGACAGGAAAATAGTTAAATAAAAACAAGAAAACAAAACAAAGTGTTGAAAAGTAAAATGCAGGTAGATTTATCTCCACTACACATTTTTACCAGTTAAAAACAATAAGTTATACACATGTAATATTTATACATCTGATACAATTCAGATCACCTTCAAAACTCAGTCACACACCCAGGGCCGTTTCAAGACATTTTGGGGGCCAAGGCAAAATGCCCCCCCCCCCCCCCCCCCCCCCCAATAACTGGGCTCCCCAGAAGCCTCTGTAATCCATACCCTCTCCAGTAGTGTTAGTTATACAGTGTTTGTAAAAACCCCTCAGACATTACTGACATGTTCTAATATTATCAGAAGAAAAACTAAATTATCAGACATGCTGTCTCATCTGCTTCTTTTCTTAACTTGCAAAAAGTAACAAAACCATTTGAAAGCCACTATTTGTGGATTCTCTGAAAGTTTTCATGGAGTGTGTGACAACTTATTTTTTTCATTGATCCTATCGTCTAATCTCACAGCTGAAACAAGCATCCTTAATAATCTGTGCACAGGAAGCTTACCGATGCTGAAGTAAAACAAAAGGTATAATAATTTATTATTAATAAAACCTTGTTGCAGCACTAAAGCAGAAAAATTAGATTTTGCATTAAATATGCAAAATATTTACATATGAATTGTTTTAGAGCCCTTTAATTGGCAGAATCTGATATTAATTTAGTTCTTACAAAAAATGGGTCTCAACATGGTTTGTGTGGCGTTGCCATAGTGTGATGTCATAGGCACAGATCCCCTGTCCTCTTGTTTGGAAATGGAAATATGGTCACCCTACATTAAACAAACTGTCCACCCGGGCTTTTGCGCTGCACAGAGACGCTTCGCTGCCTACGACTGAACGTCAGTTGAGAGTCAGTCTCATGCAGACTGACCAATGAAGACAGGGCCTCAAGTTAAGACCCTCTCCTCATTGGTCAGTCCACACGAGGTGGGTCAAAGGTTACTCTGGGCAGGTTACGTGTTGTCAGGCATTCAAGTATTGAGTATATTTACTGCATATTACAGTAAAATATTCTGTATGTGACCACATTATGGTGATCCTTGGGTCGTGATGATGGAGCCCTTGAATATTGTTGCCCAGGGTACAACAAAGTGTTAATCTGGCCCTGGTTCCGCCGTCACATTCCCGCAGAAACTGGTTGATCACACCGGGGCCAGACTACTAGCATGTGGTTTTACAACCACAATGTCCTCAGAAGCAAAAACGCTTTTAAAAGGGAGGGAGGAGTCCTAACTGTTGCTGCAGGCGTGTTGTGTGAGAGTGCAGTTATATACTGGTTAATATATTTTTGGGTTCAGTTGCTTTCATGTGGCCTAATGTGAGTCTATTTGGGATCATTGGAATGATCAGCAGCATTTCTTGATGTGACTTTATGGCAGTTGCCCAGGGCATCATCGCAAGGAGGATGGCATTCATTTACTTTTGTTTTATTTGGTATTTTTTCAGTCATTTTTGGAAATAGTGATTAATTTTGATTAATTCACAGCCTATGTTTAATTACATTTAAAATAAATGTCAACAGATGAGATCAAACAAAACAGATGAGAATTGCCCTTAAGCTGTTTAACTTGGACCAAGCATTTTAGGTCACAGATAGATGTAGCTTAGGGTCTCTGTCTATACACCTTATATGACAATTTAGGTGATGGCATGTTGTTTTTCTGCTATTGAACTGTTTTCTAATAATGTTGTGTTAAATAAAGTGAAGGAAGGAGAGAAATAACGTTTCCCTAGCAGTTTTTAAAAATTTCCCCATGTAATCCGATTAATCGATTAATCGTGTCGAGACCCCATCCGATTCATCGATTATCCAAATAATCGTTTGTTGCAGCCCTAGTAGTGGTGATAATATAAATAGCTTTTCAAGCAATTTACTTAACCTAATTTACCATCTATTATCATTACACAACCCTTGAACAGCACCTACTCGGCTCTGTTGTGGCCAGTAAGAACATCTAATGGTAAGTGGTGACTAACCATCGACTACAGGAGACTCAACCAACAAGCTCCTTTGTCTCGGTGGCCGTTGGCCCGCCTGGAACAAGAACTTCTGAAGGTGAGAGAAGCTAAATACTTTTCCACCCTTGACATTGCGTCTGAATTCTGAACAATCCCTGACCATGAATATAAATGAGCCTTCACCTTCGCCAACCGCTAGTACACCTTCACACATTGTCTTTTTAGCTACTGCAAGTCACAGGGCTGTATAGTGCAACATATATGTTGCACGTGCGATGATAACTCTTTATAGACATAGCACTCGCGATTTCATTTTCTCCCTGCGTCCTTTGCATTTTTGCGGGTTTTGAATTAGCCTACCTGTAGCTCCACTCTCCTGACTGTAACTGAGGGAGGACGAGCGAACAGTTCTCAGATGGAGGCTCTGAGCTCTCTGCTGTCGCGCTGCATCACAGGTCTGGTTAGGATGCCACAGTTGTTTACAGTGGTAACAGAACTCCGTACCGCAGCCTTCTCTGCCGCACGTGATCTTTGGACAGCTGGCACACCCGAAGGCTATTACTGCATATCTGTGGAGGACAAAAAAGAACACAATGTGATGTGCTTCACAATGAGAGAGGATGCATATCATACCCGTCTCTGACAGATGCTTAAAAATATAAGCACGAGCTTTAAAATGGTGTTCAGTAAAAAAAAAACAAATGTATAGTTAAAGAGCAAATAGCAGGTTAGAGACTCCCATGAACCAATGTTCAGAGAAACATAATAGAAACTCGTAAACATTTTTTTTCACAAACATACATTATTTAGGCTTTTAAGAGTTATTTTTGTGGGAAAAGTTTTTTTTTTTACCAGAATCTTCCTCTGTTCGGCCTGCCTGCGTCATTTCTCTGTTAAATGTCGATTTAAAGATCTTGTCTAAAATTTTAGCAATCCGATTAGATTTTTTATTGCCTATTTTGGTTAATGAAGACCAAACTGGGTTTATTAATGGTCGTAGCTCTTATGATAATATGCGTCGACTGCTAAACACCATCCAGATTTATCAGAAGGAGTCTAAGGATGGTCTCGTGCTTTCTCTGGACGTGGAGAAGGCATTCGACCGTGTGGAGTTACCATATCTGTTTTACACACTACATACTTTTGGTATGGGAGAAAATTTTATAAACTGGGTAAAGTTTCTATATAAAACTCCTTTATCAGCGGTGCTCACAAATGGGGTACGATCCTCTTGCTTCGGCATCTCAAGGGGCACGAGACAGGGATGTCCTCTCTCTCACCATTGCTTTTTGGCCTCATAATTGAGCAATTGGCTGAGGCAATCAGGTGTAATGAAAATATAACGGGTCTCAGTATTGCGAACAGAGAGCATAAGATCTCTCTTTATGCTGATGATGTACTAATCGTAGTGACTAAACCAGAGATGTCTATTCCCTGTCTGATTGAAACAATAGATATGTTCAGCCAGTTCTCTGGCTATAAAATAAATTTTGATAAATCAGAGGCTATGCCCCTGGGTACCTTGAAACAAATACCCGTGAGATCCTTCCCATTTAAATGGTCACCAGAAGGTTTTACCTATCTAGGAATACACATTATGCCAAAACTTGATCAGATGTATAAAGCCAATTTCTCACCCCTGTTAGAACGTATTCGGCTGGATTTAGATAGATGGAATACCCTTCCTGTGTCTTGGATAGGTCATATTGCTCTCTTAAAAATGAATGTTCTACCTAGGATTCTCTATCCAATACAGATACCAGTGCTGCTTCCTCGTAAGGTACTGAAACGATTAAATAGTTGGTTTAGTTCCTTTATATGGTCCAAAAGAAAGGCACGTCTTAAAATAGCTACTTTATGTCACTCGTCAGCAGAGGGGGGCTGTGACCTCCCGGACATTCAAAATTACCAACTCAGTGTACATTTGCGCATTATGGCTAACTGGACACGCAATAAGTCTACTTCACTCTGGTTGGACATTGAAAGTTCAATGTCGAACCGTCCTTTAAAATCACTGCTTTTTCTAAAAAAGGGGAAAACCCTCAAAACTGTCTGTACCAACCTGATTACATTACCACAATTACAGCGTGGCAAATAAGAAAATTAGAGGGTGGGTCACAAAAAACCTCGGTTTTTACTCCAATATGTGGAAACCCAGATTTTCTACCTGGGATTATAGATGATAACTTTGGAAGATTGAGTGATAAGGGAGTATCCAAATTACAAGATCTATTTGATGGACCTACCCTGATGTCATTTACCCAACTGACTGAAAAATACAATATTTCAAAAAAGGACCTTTTCTGATACTTACAAATTAGAGACTTTATCAGGAAGGACACTACACTTCTGGCATGCCAGGATGTGTCAGATACTGAGCGCCAGGTGTTTTCTGCCAGGTCAGTTACTTCTATTTGTACATTTTATAATATCATTAAATGCTATAAAACAAGGGAATCTTCCTGCCTGAGGGAACTATGGGAAAGGGAACTCAACTGTAACATTACTGAAGATGACTGGAACAATGCTTTGAGAAACGTAAGAACCTTAGGTGTATGTAATAGGGTTAAAGCGACCCAACTTATGATTTTTCACAGAGCTCATATATCACCCTACCAAAGGCAGAAATTTAACCCCACCGCATCTTCACAGTGCCTGAAATGCAAAACTGACGTTGGCACTCTTATGCACTGTTTCTGGTCCTGTATTAAGGTGAAGCAATTCTGGCAGATTATCTGAGGGGAAATGAACAAAATTTTGTTTGCGAATAATAATCCCTCATTTCATTTCTGTTGTTGGGAGTGGTCGATCCGGTTGTCAGTGGTAAATATGAAAGGAGACTCTACAGCATATTGACTAGAAAGTGTCTTCTCCTGAACTGGGTAGCTGACAAGATCCCCTCCAAAACACAGTGGCAGAGGGTTGTGCTCAGTTATGCCTCTCTTGACTGTCTAACATGTCGACTGCATTGCAGGGATGAAGCCTTCGCCAGGACATGGAAACATTTTCTACTGTACGTTGGACTGGATTTCTCTGTATTCTTTGCTAGAGCTTTGGTGTAGGGACACCGTTGTGCGAACTGAATCTGAACTTGTATATATGTGAGGAAAGGGAGCCAAGGATTCATGTTGTTGTTTATGTTTGTGATTGATGTTAAAATAAATAAAAAATATTTTAAAAAAATTAAAAAATATTCTAATTCTGATGGACCAGAACCATAAAGTTATGAGTTTGCTACACGCCCCAGAGAGCAGAGACAATTTCTAAAAGCCGCGCATCCTCTCCTGGTGGTCCAGGCGGCGGTTCTGATCGTTCCGACCCGGAACCCAGCTGAGCTGCACATTTCTGGTGGTCGGTTCTGACGGTGATCTGAGCTTCAGAAATCCACATTTTAATTTTATAAACCCCTCTACAGGTCTCCGGAGCCCAGCGCGGACCTCCCTGACCCGGTACCGACCGATGTGGGCTACAGAAGTCCGTGTTTTCAGCTGCATAAAACACCCTCAGGCATGGAGATAGAGGCGTTGTTTAAAACTACAGTTTAAACTATAGTTTATCAAAATGAACACAATCCAACATTAGTAAACACACACACGGACTGGATAACATGACTTCTCTACCCTAAAACTACCCACTCTCCACACTGAGATTAGGGGTGTAACGGTTCACGGAGGCGTGTTGAACCGTTTCGGTCTGTTCGGTCCGGTCCACTTGCGTACCGTTTCAGTGGATTTTTTCCTGTAAATAATTAATTTTTATTTGCGTGATTTAAGTGCAGCAGATAAAAGTTCCTAGGAGTTTCTGCACAGACGCTGTATTGAGTGACACATGATGGCTGGATGCTCCCGATCTCCGTTTAAAAAATGATCTGCAAATTAAGATCAAGGCCTTTCAGAGCGGATCAAACCAGCTGGCTGTCGCTGCTACAGGAGCCTGTAGACTCCTAACGGAGCTGCTACAGGTGCCTGTAGAGACGCTGAAGGTAGCTGCTACAGGTGCCTGTAGAGACGCTGAAGGGAGCTGCAGCAGGAGCCTGAAGAGACGCTGAACGAAGCCGCTACTGGAGCCTGAAGAGACGCTGAACGAAGCCGCTACTGGAGCCTGTAGAGACGCTGAACGGAGCGGCTACAGGAGCCTGTAGAGACGCTGAACGGAGCTGCTGCTGGAGCCTGTATAGACTTCTAACGGAGCTGCTACAGGTGCCTGTAGAGACGCTGAAGGTAGCTGCTACAGGTGCCTGTAGAGACGCTGAAGGTAGCTGCTACAGGTGCCTGTAGAGACGCTGAAGGTAGCTGCTACAGGTGCCTGTAGAGACGCTGAAGGTAGCTGCTACAGGTGCCTGTAGAGACGCTGAACGGAGCTGCAGCAGGAGCCTGAAGAGACGCTGAACGAAGCCGCTACTGGAGCCTGTAGAGACGGTGAACGGAGCTGCTACAGGTGCCTGTAGAGACGCTCAACGGAGCTGCTACAGGTGCCTGTAGAGACGGTGAACGGAGCCTCTACAGGAGCCTGTAGAGACTCCTAACGGAGCTGCTACAGGTGCCTGTAGAGACGCTCAACGGAGCTGCTACAGGTGCCTGTAGAGACGCTCAACGGAGCCTCTACAGGAGCCTGTAGAGACTCCTAACGGAGCTGCTACAGGTGCCTGTAGAGACGCTCAACGGAGCTGCTACAGGTGCCTGTAGAGACGCTCAACGGAGCCTCTACAGGAGCCTGTAGAGACTCCTAACGGAGCTGCTACAGGTGCCTGTAGAGACGCTGAAGGTAGCTGCTACAGGTGCCTGTAGAGACGCTGAACGGAGCTGCAGCAGGAGCCTGAAGAGACGCTGAACGAAGCCGCTACTGGAGCCTGTAGAGACGGTGAACGGAGCTGCTACAGGTGCCTGTAGAGACGCTCAACGGAGCTGCTACAGGTGCCTGTAGAGACGCTCAACGGAGCCTCTACAGGAGCCTGTAGAGACTCCTAACGGAGCTGCTACAGGTGCCTGTAGACGCTCAACGGAGCTGCTACAGGTGCCTGTAGAGACGCTCAACAGAGCTGCTACAGGTGCCTGTAGAGACGCTCAACAGAGCTGCTACAGGTGCCTGTAGAGACGGTGAACGGAGCCTCTACAGGAGCCTGTAGAGACTCCTAACGGAGCTGCTACAGGTGCCTGTAGAGACGCTGAAGGTAGCTGCTACAGGTGCCTGTAGAGACGCTCAACAGAGCTGCTACAGGTGCCTGTAGAGAAGCTGAAGGTAGCTACTACAGGAGCCTGTAGAGATGCTCAACACAGCTGCTACAGGTGCCTGTAGAGACGCTCAACAGAGCTGCTACAGGTGCCTGTAGAGACGCTCAACAGAGCTGCTACAGGTGCCTGTAGAGACGGTGAACGGAGCCTCTACAGGAGCCTGTAGAGACTCCTAACGGAGCTGCTACAGGTGCCTGTAGAGACGCTGAAGGTAGCTGCTACAGGTGCCTGTAGAGACGCTCAACAGAGCTGCTACAGGTGCCTGTAGAGAAGCTGAAGGTAGCTACTACAGGAGCCTGTAGAGACGCTCAACAGAGCTGCTGCAGGTGCCTGTAGAGATGCTCAACACAGCTGCTACAGGTGCCTGTAGAGACGCTCAACAGAGCTGCTACAGGTGCCTGTAGAGACGCTCAACAGAGCTGCTACAGGTGCCTGTAGAGACGCTCAACAGAGCTGCTACAGGTGCCTGTAGAGACGCTCAACAGAGCTGCTACAGGTGCCTGTAGAGACGCTGAACGAAGCCGCTACTGGAGCCTGTAGAGACGGTGAAGGTAGCTGCTGCAGGTGCCTGTAGAGACGGTGAAGGTAGCTGCTGCAGGTGCCTGTAGAGACGCTCAACACAGCTGCTGCAGGTGCCTGTAGAGACGGTGAAGGTAGCTGCTGCAGGTGCCTGTAGAGACGCTCAACAGAGCTGCTGCAGGTGCCTGTAGAGACGCTCAACAGAGCTGCTACAGGTGCCTGTAGAGACGCTGAACGAAGCCGCTACTGGAGCCTGTAGAGACGGTGAAGGTAGATGCTACAGGTGCCTGTAGAGACGCTCAACAGAGCTGCTGCAGGTGCCTGTAGAGACGCTCAACAGAGCTGCTGCAGGTGCCTGTAGAGACGCTCAACACAGCTGCTACAGGTGCCTGTAGAGACGCTCAACACAGCTGCTACAGGTGCCTGTAGAGACGCTGAAGGTAGCTGCTACAGGTGCCTGTAGAGAAGCTGAAGGTAGCTGCTACAGGAGCCTGTAGAGAAGCTGAAGGTAGCTGCTACAGGTGCCTGTAGAGACCCTCAATAGAGCTGCTACCGGTGCCTGTAGAGAAGCTGAAGGTAGCTGCTACAGGAGCCTGTAGGGATGCCTAACGGAGCTGCTACAGGTGCCTGTACAGACACTGAATGGAGCGTCGTGTTGTCCCTCCCTCCCTTCTCCCACACTGTGCAAGCATGAAGCGGCTAAAATGTAAACAAACAAACATGTCTGTCAAACCTTCTCTGCACAACAGGAAACACTGTTAGATAAAAACTATTGATCCAAATGAAATTACACTAAGGCCGATGATCATTCACACATCACCGTTAGTTACTAAACACATCAATTAATGAACTATAGTGGTTCTAAAGTCTTCTACACTAAAAGCTCCATTACAGTCATGTTTATAAAGTTTTAGCCAACAAACAATTATAACACAAATTAACCTTTTCATGAGAGAGAGAGAGAAAGAGAGAGAGAGAGAAAGAGAGAGAGAGAGAAAGAAAGAGAGAGAGAAAGAGAAAGAAAGAGAGAGAGAAAGAGAAAGAGAGAAAGAGAAAGAGAGAAAGAGAAAGAGAAAGAGAAAGAGAGAAAGAGAAAGAGAGAGAGAGAGAGAGAGAGAGAGAGAGAGAGAGAGAGAGAGAGAGAGAGAGAGAGAGAGAGAGAGAGAGAGAGACTATGGTGTGAACCAGTTGTTTCTGCCAGTTGAATCTCTTGGACTTCCCTACATGTGCAGCTCGGGGGTGACGGCGGCTGAAGATATCGCGTTAGCATTCACACTTGTTCAATTTTCAATTTTAATTCTGGTGCCTGCTGGCAGCTGAAACACATCCTCACATGCTTGTGGATATCATATATTCTATATGAAAACATGACTGTAATAATAAGTAAAGGTTAGCAGCTGTAGCTTCAGTGTGCTCATAGGAAACGTGACAAAAGAAAACAAAACACATTTCTCTTTATGGCCTATATTGTTGTCATCATCAACGTAACATGATTTACAGAATACATGTGACCAACTAACATTTCATGTTCTACCACCGGATAAAAATATGAAAAAACCAAAATATGAACCAATCAGATCTTAGATCAGGTGAGAGCCAGGCGTTTCCCATCATCCTCTAGGTTTTGCAGCCGAGGGAGAGCAACTGCAGCGCCTTGCTCCAAAATCTGCGGCCGCCTTGATCTCACGAGGTTATCGTTGCCTACGTATGCATGACGTCAGAGCAAGTTGGCGTCAATTCGGACACATATCTAACAGGCATGCACTGCTCGCCGATCACTGCTGGTCTAATCTGCGCAGAACTGGCTCATCTCGAACAGTCAATGGCTCGAATACAGCAAAGCGGAGTTGGTGATGTACGCCGTAAGTATGCGACAACAAAATCGTGTTTTGTTGAGGGAACAAACAAATTCAAACTTGAATACGTTATTATGTTTGTGAATGTGTACAAAATAAAGGTTTATTACATTTAAACGGTTCAGTTGTTATTTTGACTCGTTTTGGCAGCTGACCAGCGGGGCCGGTAGATTCTTGGCGGGGCCGGTAAATATTCAGAGTTACCGGCCCGGCTGGCCGGTTGGTTTTGAAGTTAATGTCCGCCCCTGTTTAAACAACAATAAGTTAGCCTGATGAGTGAAAGCTAAACATCTAAAACAGATTTACCTTTCGTGTGCCATGTCTGTATAAATTCGCTGCTTACCCACAGTCTGGTGCGGGGCACCAGCGGCAGTCCGGGTCAGCAACCAGCCACCTTCTCAGCATGAACTCCTCGTATTTCTCCATGAGCACTCGATCACAGAGGATCATACAGATATCGTGAGGGTTGTAGCGCTCCGAGCACTCCGGGCAGCTTATATTGACACGTGACTCTGAGATCTCGATACGCAGATACTGGCGCAGGCAGTCGATGCAGGAGCGGTGGTGACAGGTCATAATGTCAGGGAAGCTCTCCCTTGAGTGGCACAGAAGGCACAGAGGGCACTCCAGAATCTCGGCCCCCCCTACAATCACTACCTTAGATGATGAGGAGGAAGAAGACCCAGAGGCAGATGAGGTGGATGCAGCAACAGCAGCAGAAGCAACTCCGGTACTAGTCACAGAGAAGGTTGAGCTCTTGTCATTACACATCTCTGAGTGGATGCTTTCAATACTGGCAATGCCATCAACTCCATTTAGCTCTCCGTGACCAGGATGCTGAATCTCTTTGGACCTTAGGCACCCTGATTTAGAGTCACGCCCTCGTCTTCGGAAAAGAGAAGCCAGGGAGATGCGTCTTTTCTTGGGAGCCTTCTTTACAGATGGCAGGGTGATAGAAGAAGCATTGGACTGTAGGTCCCGGTCAGAACCCATCACCTCACCGCTTCCACCATCCAGCTTCTGTAAGCTCATCTCTCCGGAGAGAGGGGAGGGGGGTGCCAACGGGGTGCCAGGGCTGGGGAGCCTGTCTGTCACATGTGCTGAGAGACCTGGGAGTCGGGTGGAGCTGGGATAGGGGGTAAGGTGGTGGATTGGAGAGGGAGTAGGGAAAGGGGGTCCAGGGTGGGGGGACAGGGCTCCAGAGGGCCCATCTGTGTTTAGGACATGGTGGCTTCTCCTTATCAACCTCGATGTCAGATCTAGGAGCCGGATTTTGGCGAGGGGGTGGGAACTTTTTCTGTGAACGTGATGCAACAGAACCTGATGGGAGCAAGGAAAATGTGTGGAAAAGACCAAGACAAGAAGAGATGGGAAGAGGGAAAGAGAAGAAAAGAAAAATGTTATGGTATCACTTTCAACAAGGCATTTCACATCATTACACACATGTAGAAAACAGGACTGTGGCCATGTTCAGGGGCTGCATCCTTTGAAGGCTGCATTTGGAGGCCGATGAAGTCAGAGAAGCAGGGCATTAGCAAGAAACTGGGAAAGTGGGTGTCCCACAGGATAGAGTGACCGTTCCCCTTCGGGGGGATCCTAATTTCATTTAATCATTTTTCATGTTTTTTTTTCATGAAAAAAACGTGAAAATCATGTTTTCACCAGTGAGGTGAAGTCACCGGACCACGAGTGATGTGCTCTGCTGCAGCAGAACGCGTCAGGCCCAAATAAAACACAGAAAGTACCAGAAAGAATTTGAGCGGACATGAACGATCGTGTGTTAATTATATTTTTTGATGAATTCACTGAAAATGTTACTGTGGCCATGTGTAGGATGCAGCTGCCTGCTGTGTGCATCAATGATCAGCGCTCTGCTAAAAGATATGCCTGGTGTATGCTGAGAGTCTGTATAGTCAATGTAATGTAGGGCTGCAACAAACGATTATTTGGATAATCGATTAATCGGATGGGGTCTCGACACGATTAATCGATTAATCTGATTACATGGGGAAATTTTTAAAAACTGCTAGGGAAACGTTATTTCTCTCCTTCCTTCAATTTATTTAACACAACATTATTAGAAAACAGTTCAATTGCAGAAAAACAACATGCCATCACCTAAATTGTCTTATAAGGTGTATAGACAGAGACCCTAAGCTACACCTATCTGTGACCTAAAATGCTTGGTCCAAGTTAAACAGCTTAAGGGCAATTCTCATCTGTTTTGTTTGATCTCATCTGTAGACATTTATTATAACTATATTGTCAAACAACTAATTTTTAAATGTAATTAAACATAGGCTGTGAATTAATCAAAATTAATCACTATTTCCAAAAATGACTGAAAAAATACCAAATAAAATAAAAGTAAATGAATGCCATCCTCCTTGTGATGATGCTCTGGGCAACTGCCATAAAGTCACATCAAGAAATGCTGCTGATCATTCCAATGATCCTAAATAGACTCACATTAGGCCACATGAAAGCAACTGAACCCAAAAATATATTAACCAGTATAAACTGCACTCACACAACAGCATGCAGCAACAGTTAGGACTCCTCCCTCCCTTTTAAAAGCGTTTTTGCTTCTGAGGACATTGTGGTTGTAAAACCACATGCTAGTAGTCTGGCCCCGGTGTGATCAACCAGTTTCTGCGGGAATGTGACGGCGGAACCGGTTCGCAGCAGCGCGAGTCTGGGCCAGCCCAGTAACAATCTTGGACCAAAAAAAAAGGGGGGCAAAAGGAGATGTTTTTCCAGACGCCAAGGAAAATTAAATGCCAACCCACCCACCCACCCCCACTCCTGCAAAGAGTGTCACTGAGAGTTTATGGCTGATAACCAATATTTGCTGATACCGATATACTGACATTAATGCTTCTAAAATCAGCAGATTTTGTATAGAATGAAAATTATTAAAGCTGAATTTACATTATTATGTACACACACACACACACACACACACACACACACACACACACACACACACACACACACACACACACACACATTTATGGTTCTGAGATGATTTCATTCACTGTTCACATGAATAAACAAATATACATCACCCCCTCACCCTCTGAAACAGGCAAACAAATGGAGACGAGATGGAAAACATATCGATTGTTAATATCGGCCAAGTTTTATTTATCGAACCAATATGTTAAAAAATGACTAACAACGGCCGATACAGATATTGATGCCGATATATTGTCCATCCCTAGCTGTAGGTCAAAAATCGTAAATCAGTTTTGATGGATGGTAAAGCTTATATCGCCTCACAAGTATTAAAAAAAACCTGAAATTTCAATCTCTGATTTGGGGTTGTCACAGTAACCGGTGTAGCGGTAAAAAAAGTTGACAATATTAATAACCGTCTTGTTTTTTTAAAAATATATTATCTCGGTGGGTTTACCGTGGCTGCGGTGTAGGCGCGGTGACCCTTACCGGCCACCGTATCATCTGCTAAAGTTGCCGGCGGCACATGCGCGCTTTGTTGTTTACGATCAAACTTTCTTGAAGCTAAAGCTGAAATAATGGCCAAAGGAGGAGACGGCAGCACGCAGGACATGTATTATCCCTCAAAGAAGACAAAAGTGGGAAGTACGGGCATTTTTTGGATATTTGAAGAATGCCGAGGGACAGTTGATAGAAGACGGCTATCCTGTTTGCAGCACGTGCAGGAAAAGTGTCTGTGAAAGGCAGTAACACTTCAAATCTCATGACACATCTGCGTGACCATCACCCACAACTCTACAGTCAACACAAGGCAAGTTAGCATTAGCGTTTTATCTAAAATGCGTGATCCGAGGATTTGGGTTGAGGGAGAACGCAACGAGTCGCTATATAAAGCAGCCGCAGCGCCGCTACCTGCATATAAACCGTGTCGCGGACACCCCCATGTTGAAATGACGCTATGCATTACGGGGCTCCCAGGGGCAGATAAGAGTTGGTCTTTCTCCGAGAATAATTATGAATTTAACAATGATTACTGCCTGATGACATTTTCCCACATCTGCAAAGCTCACTGGAAGGACACAAACCGAGGACAATATTTTCCTGATATAGGGATTATTACTCAAGTAAGGGTAAAAAAGTATCTGATTAGAAGGCTACTTGAGTACTGAGTATCATCTGATCTAATATTTTTAAAACGATGACATCAAAAAGACAAAAAATAAGAAGTTATGGGCAAGACTAAAGGAGAAAAATGTAAACAAATAACATAATTACAAAATAACAAATTTTAGGTAAAATTTAGACACAAACTGAGGACAATATTTTCCTGATATACAGGGTTTATTTAGTTGTCTGAAAATATAACGCATCTAAAAAAATACTGCGATAATACCGAAAACTGATAATTTTGGTCACAATAACCGTGAGCTTAAATTTTCACACCGTGACAACCCTACTCTGATTTCACTAGCTTTGTTTTGCACCGTTGTGGTTGTTGGCCAACGTACAGTGAGCTAGTGGTGGGAATAAACCTTAAGGCTACACAGTCCTATTTCACAGCCACTCATTCCTGGCCTTCATCGTTGACGGAGAACCCAGTTGGGCGACGTAGACTGGGTCTTTCGAAAGATGCAGCCCTTGAATCCAAACACAGTGCACTTCTCCAGAAACTGTTCACCATACCGAGTCAAAAAGCATCTTCACTTTCACCAGATGCTATTTTGTGTAGGTTTTGTTCCGTTTTAAGCTCAATTTTTCAATGTGAATCTGCACAAGCTGCAGGACTTCAATGTTCCTGCTTGCTGTTGACATTTTGCTCAGTCAGTCAAAGTGCACATTTGCTTTGCTAATCAGAACATCAATCAAGAGAAGAGGACATGGGGTTATTAACCTTGGACAGCATTGATGCAAAGAGACAGTGTTATGATTGGTCTGCAAGATCCACAGTGATGTGGCCTGGGGCCGTCAGCTGCTGATAATGGCAAACAGGAGGAAGAGTGTGATAAAGCTAATCACACTTGAGCAAAGGTTTTCCAATGTAAACCATCTCCAGCTACTAGAACTGCAAATGTACCAATACATACATACATACAATTAAAGGTGTGCTAAAATTAGGGACGTTCCGATTAAGGTTTGGCGATGGGAAAAATTAATCGACCATCGGCACTGGGCTGAGCAGTTACGGTTGTTTTTTACAGGAGGTAATTTGTTTATTTATTTGTTATTGACTAATATTTTACACGCTACGCACAGAGAACATCGCGGAGGTAACAATCAAGAAAAGATCTCCATCAGCGCATCTGAGCCTTTTCTCACCTCCGCCTCTGGCTGTGCATGCGCAAACTGCACGCTGAGGAGGGGTTTGGAGAGCGTCTAATGCGCTCGACATCATGCACTACAGTGCGCCGTTGAGTGGAAACCCTTCCATCTTTCAGAGTCTGGAAGACTTCTGGTTATTTCATTTGGAGAAATGTTTCCTGATTTAAAACTTTGGCTTAAGTAGCACTCGTCGTTATTCAGCACTTGGTTTGAGTGTGTCAGCAGAGCACGGATCCATCCAGAACATTATTTAAACAGGCATGAGTCTGTCTGAAGCAAAAGTCTAAACGCTCATAACCTCTTCAGCAAGCTCCCTAGAGACATTTGATCACACACAAGCTGCAGGTGACCAGTTCAGGTTTAAGCGGCGCAGGAAGAATGTGCGTTCGAGCCGCAGCAGGTGAAATGTTCCTAATTTAATGAGCAAGTCACCCCCTATCAGAGTCTAACTCCACTCCCACTTCATGTTTGAAAAATGCAATAAATGCTTTTGCCTGGCAGACCGAGAGGGCGGAGCTGCTAACAAATACACACACACACAGGCTCATGACAGCACTGTGACATCATAATGTACCAGTTTACATCATAGCATACCTCTTAGCCAATAGCAGTGGCAGATTTAAATTCAAATATAGTTCAGAGTTTTTACCTGACAATGGCAGAACACTGCCAGTTTTAGGCAGAATAATTAAATTTTAACTAAGATGCACTGAAGTGCCAAATTATTGACTACACGTGTCTGCAGCACGATTAGACACTTGTTTATTTAGTTTATCAGCAAAAAAAAAAAATTTATTTGGGGGTGACTTTAGGGCTGCAACAAAAGATTATTTGGATAATCGATTAATCGGATGGGGTCTCGACACGATTAATCGATTAATCGGATTACATGGGGAAATTTTTAAAAACTGCTAGGGAAACGTTATTTCTCTCCTTCCTTCACTTTATTTAACACAACATTATTAGAAAACAGTTCAATAGCAGAAAAACAACATGCCATCACCTAAATTGTCTTATAAGGTGTATAGACAGAGACCCTAAGC